AGCTACTGAGGGTTTGCCAAAATGTTTGCATTCTCGACTTCTGCAAATCTAAGGTGCTACTTTTCAGAGAAGCTGAATGAAGAGCTTCTTACATAAAGTTCCTGAGTTCCAGCATGTATCTGTCTAGGGGTGCTGTAGTTTCAATCCTATTCCTCTGACTGTAGGACTGCAGGAATAAACACAGGGCTTTCTGTCTGCTATTGGTGCTAAACAGAAGCCATCTTCCATACATGGTGAGAAACTGAGGGAAAAGATAAATACAAATGCTTGTATATTTCTTTTCCATCAAATCCATCCATTTTGTTCATTCTTCTACACAGAACAATCAACAATGAACATGCCAGACACAGTGTAAATCTGCCCTCCATTCCTTACATTTTGTTCCTTACGTTTTTACCTGAACCATTGCTAACTTTTCCCAGTGCCCTTCAAAGCATGCCCTAAGTGGGCACACCAGCAGATAAAGGCCAGGGGGCTTGCCAGCTCCGCTGGTACATGGCCCATGAGAGATGGCCACATACGTCTCCTGGATTCAAAATCCATACTCTTCCCACTACATTGTAATTATAAGATTAAAGGGTCTGGCTCTATTTCAAGGTAAATAAAACTGATCAGAATGGTTATCTAAGCAATAATAGCTGTACTGGTGCTTGGCAGGCACTGAAGAGATTTCTGTTCTGTTAGGCACACATCACGGGGTCTTCGGAGTCTGCTTCCTGCAGCACAGTTAACAAGAAGCCATACTTCCACCTCTTGCCAAAAGTGATGGAGTGGTTAGAGTCCCCTGGATCTGCTCACGGCGAGTGGAAGAGAATAGAATGTCACGGCACGGAGCTGATACCACTTCAGATTTGAGCAATGTTAAGAGGAAGAAGCTCATATCCCTTCCCATCTCCAGAGTCTTATGCACATCAGCAGTGGCCCTAATAAAGGGCACAGCAGGGAGTATTTAATTTTCAGTAGTTTTTAAAGTTGGAATTTCTAAATTTATACTATGTGTTTTCTTTAAATGTGTATATCCTTAGGAAAGTGTAAATATTTTGTATGTAGTTCTCAGAAAGAAACCTCAGAGAGAAATTACAAAAAATTTCTACAAATAAAGTTAGTCTGTGATAACATATTATTATTATTATTATTATTATTATTATTATTATTATTATTCAGGGGTTGGCCATATTTCCAGCTCTCTTATCATCCTAACATTCCATCATCCTATCACAAAATACCATGTCTCTATTAATGGAAAAATGTCCAGCTGGGTCATATCAAATTTAATTATTCTAATACTCATATAACTACAGAGTTGTCTCAAGTTCCAAATGCATCCATTCCCTTAAAAATTAATAGTTTTGAGATGAAAAAAGATGGTGTAATCCTTCTGGTAGGAGAATAAGAAGTAAAGAGGAGATTAAAATATGTAAGCACAAAAAGAACAAGAAAAATATTAAAGTCCTTCTCTCTCACCCTTTGCATATAGGGCTACAGTATACCAATAGAAAGGACAAAACGAAATTAATTTTACATAAGAAGTAGTTATTGGGTGTCTAGTATTTGCTAGGTGATGTTTAGATTTATGCAGTAATCACATCGAAACTGAGATCCCTGCTCTTTGGTATCATATATTCAAATGGTGGATACTTGGTAGGGGTGGAGAGAAAGAGACAATTAGTAAGCATTAAAAATAATAAATAAGTAAATGAGATAACACGATAGCAAGTGATAGGTATCCCATGGAACAAAAAAGTAGAGCAGGATTATGGATTGGTGTATCTGCAGGAAAGATGGAAGGTAGGCCACAGAATTAAAAATGGTGGAAGGGAATCCTATTGAGCAGGCAAATTGTGAACAAGGTAAGGTAGTTAGCATGTGGACATCTAGGACAAGTATTCCAGGCTATAAACCAAGCACATGCCTGGCTTGCTCAGAGAATGGCAAGCCACGTGATTGGCATGAAGCAAACACGGAGAAACCTTTTAGGAATAAAGGTCAGAGAGTTAGCAGGGGTCAGGTCATGCAGTGACAGTCAGGCTTCTGTAAAATACAAAGCAAGCCAATGGGGGAGGGGGTGTTGAGTAGAAGAGAGACATACTGGGTTGCATTTAACAGCATCAGTCCGGTTCTCTGTTGAGGACAGTCCGTGGAGGAGGCAAGGGTGCAGCCAGCCGGAAGATCACTGCAGTAAGTCAGACGGTGACTCAGACCAGGGAGGTAGCAGTGGAGGTGTTAAAAAGCGGTTGGAGTCAGGAAATACTGTCAAGGTAGAATTAATTTGGTTTTCTAATGAAGAAAGAAGTGTCAAGGACACCAAGATTTTTGAACTGAGCAACTACAGAATGGATTCACCATGCATTCTGTGAACAGATTTGCAGGGAAAGGTAAGGAGTTCAGTCTCATACCTGTGAGTTTGAGATGCTACTAGTCAATCCAGTTGATAGCTGGATTTCAAAAAGTTGTGATCCAGGGAAAGACATCTGGCAGTGAGCAGCACGTAGGAGGTAGCAAAATCTCTGGTTCTGGATGAGGTCACCAAGGGCATGCATGTACTTAGAGAAGATGATCAAGGATTGCACCCTGGAGCCTCCACTGTTCAGAGATGGGAGAAAGGAGGAAAGTCTGGACACTGAAAACTTTTGACCAGTGAGGCAGGAAGAAAAGCAAGGAATGAAGAAAGTTTATCCAAAGGAGGAGAAAGTAATCTGCGGAGTCAAATGTTTCTAATTCTGCTGAGGGAAACCAGAGGTTTCAGAAGCTAAATATGTGAGTAAAATGGATTCACCACTTGCATTGATCCTTGTTATCAGAGGAAGAACTTTGATGTGCTTTCATAAATGCAACTTAACTCCATGTCATCCTTTAAAAGCCAAAAAAATTGCAAGCATACAAAGAGAAATCAAGCTGTGAGCTCAGGAACTGAAAGTACAGGTGCCATCAATCTTCTGAAGGCTGTTTCAATTCTGATCTCAATTGTTTAGACAGCGTAGAAGCCTCTGCCTTTCATCAGTTATCATGTGGCCCATGAAGGGTGACTGTTTCATCAAGTTCATGGGTCTCATTAACAGAGAAAACTGTGGAACAGATGTTTGCATGTTTATCAAGAGTTCCACTCCACAAAATTGATGAAGAGATTTGTTAGCAGAAATTCAGTCAACTATCTATCTGCCAACTCTTTCTAATAGTAGAAGCTTAGTGTAGGAAAAAATAATCATTATGTCAGGAAAGAGTGAGTTAGCAGAGAGGCCACAAAATAGCCCTTCCATGGAAGAGAAGGCACGGAAATGTGTTTGTTGATCACAAGCATTCACTTTGTTTTACCAGATGCTGAAGAAAAGCAAATCTGGGTAAGTTATGGGTCTCCCAAAACCTGAGGTGGGTGGAACTGCTTAATTAGGTTAAATGCAAGGCTGTGCTCCCAGACAAGGGTAACAGAAAAGGATGTAGCAGAAAGAAAGTCCCGCCTGGTTCAGAAAGCCAAGAAAGGACTTTTTTTGTGTGTGTGAGATGTGAGACACAAAATCTAGACAATATCCTTTACTCTTACTGACAGTCATAGAAAAAATTTTGGAAATCCAATGAAATATTCATGATGTTTGCAAATCAATGAGCTTCTGAGTCATGCGAACAGAATGTTTCAGGGAAGTTTTCTTCAGCATAAAATAAAATATGAAAATGGTTAATGCTAGAATTCTCTCTCTCCCTCCATTCTTTTCTTCTTCCTTCCATTTTCCCTTTACTTCTTCCTTCCAACTTAGCAAAAGGAATGGTCTTTTCTTATTTTCTGCCCTGACTCTGTGTGTGGCCAGGCCTGCAGGGCTGACCCCGGGGAGTCTCTGTGTTGGAGCGGGTTGCCGCCTCCGGCTTCCCCTCCTAACCCTGATGGACTGTCTTCCAAGATTCCAGCACCAGAAGCAAGGAACTGGGCATGAGTCAGAGTATTCTGGAAAATAATTTTCATCATATCATATGAACCATTTTAACACTTCTACTTCAAGTCATTTTTATAAAACAGAAACCATATCAATTTTAAATCATTTTAGAATAAAAATAAATAAATGATAAACTCCTTAAAAATCATGCATGTTTTAATGTTTTTACTTTGTATGTTTTTGCTTCCAAAATTGTACTGGGATCAAATATTCTCTCAGTGCTAAATGATCTCCATAGGCACTTAATCATTTATTTAAAAAATCTACAAAATGGAACTAAGCATAAAATGCTGAACTTGTTTATCTGTTTAAAATGCTAACAAAATTGTTTAAAAGGACAACATATAGCAAGTGAAAACTAAGTTGTTGGTATTTTTAATTCTACAAAAATGTATAAATACTTAAATTTATAGCAAAAGAACAATTATACCATTTAGTAATGCATACAATGTTTAAAATGTATAATTCTTCGTGCAAAATCTACTTTTGTAAGTGTTAAAGAAAGGACTGCATGCCAAGCATATATCTAAAACATTTTTAAAATTATTTATCTTTAGCTGTGGTTACACTGACTGGGAAAACAAAAGCTCCCCTGAAAATGCCATATAATCATTTAGGTTTTTTTTGTTGTTACTTGCGCTATTTTTAGCTGACAGTACAACTGAAACCAAACAGCAGCTTATGTTCATTTCTACACCAAATTAAATGCATGATAAAAATTCCATTTTTCAAACCATTATAGATATAGCCTAATCATCTAATTTCCCGTTCTCATTGTAACCCATTAAAAACAGAATATTAAGTGATTTGTTCTCCCTAGCTAAAAACGAAAACAAAATGATAGTTATATAATGATGGCATTAGTAATGTAGATGTAGTATTTCTTTCAAAAGATAGTTAACAAGAGAGCTGCCCCCCACCCACATCACTAGTATTTCGGAGGAATTTGTTGAACAAATACAGTGAAAATTATCTTTAGAATTTATTGAACAATATAAAACAAAAGTTGGACACAAATTTACACAAATTATTTAAAACACACCCCTGGTGTTCATTCAACACCTTAGGTTGGTACAATATCTGATACTTAATAACAGTTTGAACATGGTATGTTAACATCAGATATATTAACATGTGGTATCTATCCCGTACCTTGACGTGTTAAGAAAAAAAGAAGAACAAATGGTGGATAATGGTGAATCTTGAAACACAAACTGCTTTAACATTTAACTGAATTTTCTCTACCCAGTTTTTCAAAATCTGCAGATATCAGCTCTGCAGAAGGACATCTTGTGGAAGATGACACATCAAGATCTTGAATTTCTTAAATTCTTTATATTTGTTAAGTTAGCATACTTTTAACTTTAGAATGCATGAAGTTTTGCCTCCTCTGAGATAAGATTAAGCATCTATACATGAGATGCATGTAAAATGCCTGTGATCAGATCTGATCATCATTTCTCGACTGGCGAAAACAATGTGGGGGGTTCCAATATTTTGAGGTTTTCTGAACCAATTTTTACTCTTCTCTTAACCTCTTACCAAAAGATAAAAAGGTAAAATCATTCCTACTGTTTTTCTTAAATTAATTTTCTCTTTCTATTTTTATTTATTGGACTGGTCTAAGCACCATGGCAAAATTGAATTTATGGGTTGTGTTTACTAGAGTTTATAGAGCTCCACTGGGAAGCCTAGAAATCTCTTCTGATTATCCTGCAGTCTTTGAAGCTGCATAGCATAGAACCTACCCAGTGTTTACAGTAATAGATGGTCTAACTCTATGCAAGCTTGTAAGCTATAGTCATTCTTCTTTTTAACCTGAATATAATTATAAGGAAAATGAAAATGAGGGGAAAATTTGCTCCATTATTTACTGCCAAAGAAGATTTGTTTACCTGAAGCCCAATTTGCCCAATAATGCTAGGATGTTCTGTAATCATGCTGTTTCCTATCAATTTCTTAATTTTTTTGGCAGTCCTTTATTTACTTTCTGTGGTATTATTTTATTGAACTAATCTTATCTAAATGTGAAAGGCAGTAAGAACTCACATACCTCTAAAAAATCAATGTTGTTATCACATGTTTACTGAAAACATTTTTCCCATTACTGTGCCCTTTCTGTTATATTTTTGAGTGCTTTTTAATTGAGGGGAATATTAGGTTAGAATAACAAATATGAGTCCTGGCAATGCTGTTAATAGCTATATGATCCTCGGGCAAGCCACATTACATATTTAGGTCTCAGTCTCACTACCTATAAACAGAGAAGCTACAAATAGGATTATCTGTAAAATTTTCTCAAAGTTATTACACTGGTGTTTTGTTCATAGACTTGCACTTAGAAAATAAATTTAGTAATAGCTTTTAAGAAACCATGAAAATACATATGATTTTTAAGAAGATGATATATGTTTCCCATCTAAAGAAAGTAAAAATCTTACACCTTAAGGTGGCCATTGATTATACTCCCCAAAATACTTTTATCTTAGTAAAGCAACTTATAGTAATATAGCAGCATGTTTATAAAATGTCATATTTCATTTCCATAAGGCAGGGTATTTTACTATAGAGAACAAAATATAGTACATACTTTAGGGTGAAGAATATTAGGAAGAAAATTATCATTTGGAGAAAAAGTTATGCAAATCCTGTCTAAATAGATGACTAGAGTTTATTTTAAAATTTCAAACACGGTGCATAAGAAAAAAAGCTATGACACAGTAGCAATTAGCAACTTGAATACACACTTTCAGTTCATTAATTCGAGAAATAGTCACAGAATACTTACTGTGTGCCAAGAACTCTACTAGATCCAGGGAGATCACAGTGAACAAACCTGGCAAAGCTCAGGCCTTTATGGGGCTTACATCCTAGAGTGTGTGAGGAGGATGCTGGAGGGTGGGGAGGTGGGAGGGTAAACAGAAAATAAAGAAGTCAGTTGAAGAGCATGTGTGGGACAGAGCGGGCAGGGGGGAGGAAGGTTGGCTTACTGATGAGATACTATTTGAAGGAGACCTAAAGTGAGTGAGTGAGAGAGCTGTGTGCGGAAGAGGGATAGGAACGAAAACTGAGAAACTGGCTTTGTAGCCAGAGCGGAGTAAGGAAAGGGCAGCATGGGAAAAGTGGTCAGAAACATGGGTGCATATGTGTGTGTGTGTGTGTGTGTGTGTGTGTGTGTGTGTGTGTGTGCACGAGTGAGAACAGAGGGGTGTCATTCATAAAAGGCCTTGAAGACCACTGTAAAGGTTTGGTTAGAAAGACATGAGCAGTCATTTGAGGGTTGTGAGCAGATTAGTGAAATAATCAAATCTATCTTTAACAGAATCACTGTATCTACTGGGGTGAGAAAAACTGTTAGGGGTCAGAGATGGGAAACTAGGAAACCAAACTATAAACATACACAATTTAAAAAGTCACATACAGTGGATGTGGTAGTAAGTCATTGGTTTCTGGTTATATTTAAATATAGAATCAAGGGAATTTGCTGATAATTAGATGAAGTAGAGAGAGAAACAGAGGAATCAAAAGTGACCAGGTTTTTGATCAGAATATTAGGAAGGCTGGAATTGGTATTAACTGGGACATCAGACATCAGAAGGGGAACTTTGAAGTCATTTGACATGTTTATTCATCGAGTCCCATAGATAAGGAATGCATTGTGAACCCAATTATCATTTTTAATTTCCTTTACTGAAAATAATAATTTTTTTTAATGAGTGTTAGTCATTGCTTTCTGGGTGTTGGTATTTTATATTTTATGTCATTTTTTTTGTTTGTTAGACCCTCTAATAGCTTAAGTTCTAACCATCTGAGGATTCTTTGAAAATTCTTCTTTGGCATGAAATGTATGCATTTTTAATTTTTCCTATTTTTTCAGTGACCATAATGAACTTTTAAAGATTTCAAATGCTTCTGAAATGTGTCAAATTCAGTTTATTGGAGTAGTTGTATTCTTAAAACTGTGTCATCAACCATTTTCTAGATAACATAAGCATTTTGATCGACAAATCCATAAGCGGACTGGATAGTATAAATGTCCTTGAGTGTTCAAGCTTTTTAAGGTTAAGGAAGAGTCCTGTGCAGGGAGACTTCACAGTATTTTAGGACAAAAGTAAAAGAGGGAAGAAAAAGAGTGAAAATGGAAACTGACTGTTAAATCTGGCCTCAGTTGACTCACGTTAAGGCAGTGGTTCACTAGGCCTTGGGGATCACAGCTTCCTTTGAAGTTCAATGAAAGCTATTGAATCTTTTCTCAGAAAAAAATGGCAAAGATGCAAACTTCTGTTTACAATTTTAGGAGATTCAAGGAATCCAAAGACCTCAAGGAGGTGGGGTTTATCTCTACCTTAAGGAGTACATCTGAAATGCTCCAGGTCCCAGAAATCTTCCTCAGAGTTGTACCAGTACACATTCCGAAGAGGAAGGAATGCTGGCTGGGAAAATCACACAAGACTTCACTGGCCTTCAGGAAGTGTCTTTTTCATTGTGAATGAGTGTGGTGTGTGTGTGTGTGAGAGAGAGAGAGAGAGAGAGAGAGACAATGGAGGGAGAGAGAGAGAGATGGAAGGAAGGGTGGGAGAAACGGGAAGAGAAGGAGAGAGAAGCCGAGAGGCAAAGAGAGACAGACAAAAAAGACAGAGTTTGTGTGTAGCCAAACGGAATAAAATTTTCTTTCAGATTTTTAAGAAAAGATGAGGGCCAAAGGCATGGTATCCTCTGCTTCTGAAGATGTTTCTTCCATTTTTTTGTAGCCCCAAACCTCTCTTCGCTGAGTGCACAATGAATAAGATACATATGTAGAGCAATTTTATGGGCATTTTAAATGGTGTCAAATACTAAAACTTATTAGCGCATGTCACTGATAAGGTTTTCTTCCTTTTCATGATTCTGATCATATATTTTGAACACAGAGGGTTTTGATGGATAAAGAACATATGAAACTAGCCTAATCATGATTGTTTCTTGAGTCGTAATTTATGACTAATGGTATTAAGCAGTTTAATGGAAAGCTTCATGAATGTTCATTGAGTTCATCCCCTGATGATAAAAACTTTAGATATTATAGTATAGCAATAAGATTCTGATAGTAAAGCATTATTTTTAATAGAAAATTGAAATGGCAACAGTGAGCTTAAATACAAAATAACTAAAAATTAGGGCTAATACTCTACCCTTCACCTACAATTCTGTAGAGTATAACGGACAAGTCACAGTCTCTAGAGTGGAAAGGTAAGTATAGTTTATGTGAGATAAATCTAGTGATTAATAATTGAGTTTCCTACATCAGCTCTGGGACCAAGATGACTGTTATATTCCACTTGCATCATTAATGATTGCAACTAGAACAGAGTATCTTTTAAAATGATGTAATTGTTGCAGTTCACCTTCATCTTGCTTCCATCAATGCTTAGCTAGTTTCTTCCAATTTCAAGTACTTTAAATTGAATTTTCAAACTCTCCTACTCTTTTTTTTTTTGTTTAAATGTGTTGCTTTTATAAGACCCTATGAGAAGTCAATATCCAATTTACTTTTTTTCTTACAAACTTGAAGCGTACTTTGTATGATGAATTCACTGCTCCAAAATAATTCAATATGTGACCTTGTTGTTGACATAGAAATTCAACATGTTTTCATGAAGGTCCAGTAGAAACAGAGTGCATTTTTAAAATGATAATATTTTTTAAGGAAGCTACATCATATAAGGCATTTAGATTGTCTTTCTTTTCAATCACTGTGACAAGAAAAAATTAAAATAGCCCCTGACTAATTTCTGTGAGATGAGGGCAAGAAAGGTTTTTTTTTTAAAGCAAACACAATTTATTTTTCAAATTGTTCCAATGTTTAATGTTTGCTGTTCTTTATACTTTTTTATGTGCTTCTTTGATCTCATACAAATTTTAGTAGGGAAATAAGCAAACATTCCTAAAAATGAATTATAAACAACCACGTTTTTTGAATACTAAAAGGATTTTTAAACTTTCAATTCAGCAAAGTTAATACTTTTCCCTAATTGAAATAATGGAAAAACAAAAGTGTAGACACTTTCATGGCTGGGTGGAAATGGCCGTCACGCCCCCAAGGTCATGTTCCTTAGGAGCCATTGCTGGGATCTGCTTCCACTGCAGTCCTGCATGGAAGGCACCATTTTGTCCTCTTCAGAAGGTTCATCAAGACACTGGTTACTGTTAACATGTCTCAAAGTGAGTCTCTGTAAAAGATAACCAATAATCAGTGCAACAGATTCTATCTTTATCTTCACTAGCATCTCATCTTAAACCTGCTCTTTAAACATTCTTTTAGGCTTTCTTTTAGTCTAAACACTGTGATATGTTTGTAAAAGGAAGCATGCACAGGTGGCTCTGAAGTAATTATTGTACTACTTTCACTGTAAGGTTTCATCATTGTCTAATACACCTTTCTTTGCAGATGGCTAAAGAAATTGGCCAGCATTTATCATGCACTGCCAAGAATTCTAGCTCCTTTGCAAAAAGCCCATTTGTGAGCTCCAAGTTCAACTGAGGGCTACAAATATTAACAAGCTTTCACAAAAGCTGAGTTTTCCTAGGCATGTGTTATTCACTAACCATTGGGTAAACATGCAAAAAGATGTCACAGCTGTGACCCAAATGAATAAAACTGCTAGAAATATTCCTATTTCAAAATGCTAAATAAGCCATAGTATCTGTGACAGACATTCCTTGTAGGAGAGTGATTATCATAGCAACAAAGATCTGTCTTACTTCATAGTGTGTTCACCACAGTTTTGTTTGCATGTTTAAGCATCTTAAAAATATTGACACCAAATAAAAATGGGAATGTGACAGTCATATTTTTAAATATTCTATCTATATTATATTTTCTCTATGAGAACAATATTCATTAATAAACATCCTCTTAGTACCAAATGCAGAAATATAATTCTAACAATTGCATTAGGCTAACCAGTCATTCTATGTCTTCTTGTTTGAATTCATATTTATATTTGGAAATCATCTTTTGGGGGCTTTTCAAATTGCATTTTAAGTCCACATGCTTTATACATATTAATTTATGCACACTAACTATCCACATTTTGCTCAGAGTCAGGGCAATGCCTAGAACCCTTCTATTTGAAAAACTCTCCAACCAGAAGAGAAGTGTTTGAATGTATGAGAGGTGATTTGCAGATATAGCTTGATAAAAGCACACCATATACTTTTGTTGCAAATTACCAAAATGAAAGGTAGACACACCTTTTTTTGGCTCTTGATATTACATTAAAAGTTGCATTAAAAAATGCAGATGGCATGAAATAAAAGTGGTGGAGAAACACTGCCTAGACAATTGTAATTTGCTTGGATTAGGACTGCAAGACTCTGGAGTTCCCTGTCCTGAGAAAAGATAGAATGGAAAACAGGCTTGTGGTGGGGAATACTCAATGGACAACAGGCAGGAAATTAAAAGAGCAAGGCTATTAGATATGAAGGAGATTTCAAGACTGAGGCCTTTGTTGTTGCTCTTTCAATATAAGGAATCAAGCTGTTTATACTTAAATAATGAAGAAAAGAAAGAAATGGCCAAAGATAGGCAAGAAGAATGATTTATGCTTATCATGCCAGAAATTATGTTGTTGGCTTAGGAACCAACAGCCAATTTGAAACAAAAGATAGCAAACAAAACCAAATTTTATCTAGAAAGTTCAAGCAAGAATCAAAATATTCTTTATTTTTGTTACATACCCATGTCCTTTGTGGATATATGTCCTCTTTCAATAAAAACCACTTACCCTTGCTGCTTCTATTAGATATATTTTTTTAATGTATGTAACTTAACGAAACTACTGTTTTTTTCTCAAAAAATGCAATAAAAATTTTCTTTGAAGAAATTCATTAAGATTCAAAAGTCACTGCTGTAAAGATAACAAAAAACTAACCAAAAAACTTTCCTTTTTAACGTGGTGCATTAGAAACACCAGGCATGTTAGGGTCAGGTAACTCTAAGTGTGAATTCCTGCTCCTCTATTTACCAGCGGAGAACACTTGGGCAAGCTACCAGGTCATTGTAAGGAATCAGATTCTTTGTCAGAAAATGCTTGGTTAAACTTATGAATAATTAAAAATGCTCTTTCCCCTTCTGCTTAAAATCTCTTTCACCTTCAGTCAACTAACTGTGATCCCTAGGGGACCTGATCAGGGTAACAATATTGTTTTTAGGCAATGCCACTTATGGTAGTAAACACGACCTCTGACTGATAAAAGGCATCTGCATCTCATGAACTGCATTATAAATTCCTGATAGGAAGCAAATTATGGGCTTCCCTACGTGCAAAGACTTGGAATTCTGCATGTTCCATTGGGTTCCTTGGAGATGTGCCTGCTGAGTTGTTACAGAGAAATTGTCTCTTGTGAGTCATAAGGCTATTAAGCCAGGATGCTTTCCATCCCCCACGGTTGTGGCTCTCAGCCCCTTGCACAGGGCTGTCCGCTGTGGAAAAGCTAAGTCCTGTAAGGCTGTGGGAACTGCTGCAAAGTTCTGCTGAGAGAAGCAAGTTGTGATTTCTACGCTAGAAATTTGTAGGTAATCTTGTGGGACTAAAATGTGTAGTCTAGGAAGGGCCCTTGCTGGGCGCTGCCCCCGTGCCAGGTATGCTTGCTTTGAAAGCAAACTAAGATAATGTAAGGAGATCGACTTGCACACGCGTTCTCTATGCAAAAGATCCAAGCTTTCCCAGCTTTCCAATTCAGAATGCTCTTGTCTTGAAAGTAGTTCAAATCTAAACAGTACCTTTCCACTCCTCTCCTCTCCATACCTCCATTCCCTGCCTTGTCATAAGTATTCCAGGTGCAATAGTATCCTCTATTATCTACCTTTCAGTGGTTCATCTGAATCAGAATGACGGCCTAGCTTCCCCTGTGTTCTTGTAGCAAGGTACTGGGCAATATCCTTCACTTACAGGACAGTTAAACCCTTAAGACCAAGAACTAGGACATGTTCTTATTGGCACTCATTACAAGAATTCTCTACCAGTTTTTTTATTTGAACTGAATAATGATTCATTTTATTGCTTGCTAAGAAGATATTCGCAAATCATACAAGCGAGAGATAAAAAGTAGATTTTTTACAAAGCTTTTATTATCATACCACTTAACCAACCACAAAGAAATGCTTAGAACCAATTTACTTCATAAAATTATTGAAAATTACATCTTAGTCTTCAATAATGTGTTTACTTAAAGTTTAAGGTTAAAATAATAAATTCCAGAAAGGATATGCTAAATATGGCCACAATAAAAGTATCTGAATAAAAATTAGCAAAATTAAATAATTTCAGTGTTCCAAAACAATCCAGGTTTTGGCTATATTAGGGTTTTTGGTTGATAATTTTTTTTTAGCTCTAATGTAAAATCTTTTGTCATATAGATATGACTACAGTTAACTGAAAAAAGGGCTAGTATGTCGTAATGTATTACATCAATTATATTTATGTGTTAATAAGTTCTTAAATAAAAACCTGGAAAGTACCTATTAATGATAGACTAAATACTACCTAATCCATGCAGCCTCCAAATTAATAAGCAGCTAAGAAGTAGAAGAAAAATAACTCCAAATACATACAGCACATAAAGATTTTTCTTAACCACATTTTAAAGAAGGTTCTAGATTTCAATAACAGACTATTACAAAAATACTAAAACAAACTCAATAAAATCTACAACAAAAACTTCCAAAAATTAATTAGAGGATGTAATCATTAGGCTTCTCAAAAATATTTCTAAAAACTTCCATTCTTGTATAGTTTCTTAGTAGCCATTTTTGCAAAGGGCTATCATTACATGTTTCCACAGTGGGCTGCGGGGAGCCATCAGCTACTTTGCTTACTGAGAGACAGGACTGGGTGATTATGTGAAGAAGAGTGTGGGTCTGTTTGACAAAGGAAACAATGAATAATGACAAAATCAAGTACAAAAGCAGTAATCAATCAATCATTCCCAGCAACATACAATTTCTACAGGATAAGGGTGGAAGGCACAAATTGCAATGATTGCATCCATGGAGCTGTGACCCACATCCTTTCAGATGACTTTAATATCAACTGTATTAAATTAGGAGTAAAGCTAAGGCTGAGAATATGAAGAAAAGCCTGAGATCAAATGACAAAATACTTTGGGTGACAGGTTATTTTGGATAGAAAATTTTATATTTACAGGGTTCATTCTGGTAATAAGACGCTTTTAGCATAAATGACTTATTTTGTGAGTGGATATTCAAAACCACTTAATAGTCCAGAGAGCTTTCAATTGTGATCTTTGGCCAACTCATTGCTTTGCCCTAAACTTGAGTGGATGCCAGGGAAGAATCTAGGGGATGATTTAGCTTTAAAGCTTTGCTTTATTTTGTACAATTTGTTACTCTAGTTGTTTCCACTATGCTTTCACAGGGCTAACTGGTGGTGTTAAAAATGTTCCATGTAGACATGTCACATTCATCTAATTGTCAATTTAAAAAGTTAACAAAGAGAGGAAAAAGGAAAAATCAACTCCATTTGGGCTCTTAATTTGATTCTCCTAAAATAATTTGCATAATTAATTTGTTTTTCTGTTCTTGTTTTCATCTCTTTCCTACACAGCAGCATAAGCTCTAAAAGGCCAGAACCACGACCGCCTACATCATCACGTCCAGTGCCTGGCAACAGGAGGCAGTCAATGTTTGTTGACTGAAATACTCAGTGAAAGGCCAATGCAGAACAAAAATTCTGATAAAAATTAAACTACATCTTTTGGGCAGCTTAATGGACACAAATCATTGGTTTTTCCATTTCAAGGACTTAATTTCAACAGTAAAGTGGTAGATAAATTTTTTATAAAGATAGGACAGTTAACATCACATATGATCAATTTTATCTGTAAAATGATACTGTTCACATATAGTTTGATTTGTTAAGGAGACTGACCAGTCTTTGTTTTTGTTTTTTAACCAGATTTGAATTTCCTACCTATATTATTTGAAGTTTCTAGGCTTGATAAGTCATTTTTCTTTTTATAATGAACTTTTCTTATTAATGTCATGTTAACATCAAGGACCCCAGTGTTAGTAATTATGAATTTCACATGCCAGCAAAAAGAAAAATGAATTATGAGATTTTCCTTGGTTTAGAGCAAAAACAAAATTTGATTTTACTTATGCTTAAGAAATATAACTCCAGAATATGAACATGGCATATAATCTTCC